ATAATAATAATAATAATAATAATAATAATAATAATAATAATAATAATAATAATAATAATAATAATAATAATAATAATAATAATACAAGACCTCTGCTGTGTGAATCAGGATGATTTGGAAGGAAGGGCAGAGATGGGGGAAGGTGGGATGTGAAGACACAAATCCAGAGTGATCTCTAGGACAACCAGAGCTCACGTGGATCCCTTAAAAGTGTTTCCAAATGCAGCACTCCACTTTGGGTCCTGCAAGCAGGTTCTGGAAGAGAATCAGAGCATTTCTGAAGGTGTGGCAGGTTCCTGAAGCAGACCCAGAACCTGCAGACCCAATTGGAGGGTTCCTTTTGAACCCTAGCATCTTCTTGGCTCCCTTTACTGTAGAGCGGAATTGCATTCACTGGTAGAAAGCCTCACCTGCAGTGGCTCCTGCAAAGTATGAGGGTCCCTCTCAGCATAAGTGGCAGCCAAAAATTCTTCACTACTCTCCATGTAGGAACACAGAAAAATTACCCCATTTCAGGGACCAAGGCAAATGTTGGCTGCCCAGGATCCAGAGGGTCAACCCAGCTCCACCTCTTGGATTTTTGCATCCTTCCATGGGGCTGTTTGGTGAACGAACCACCCGCACTCTTAATGACATTTCTCTTGTTTAGGAACTTCGCTCCCCTGCTGAATATTCTGACTCCTTGTAACTGATCTGCTGTCTTGGAGCAAATCAGTTCCATAGATTTAGGATGTAGCTGGTGATACTGATGATGAAGTAAACCTTGAGGTCTTTCTATACAAGTGCCCCTAAGGGATATTTTCCCTTCTCTCTCCTCTGTGCCCAATCTGCTCCCTTTGGAATTGTCAGTATTCCGGGCAGAATATGTAGTGATCTGAAAGTCTTTATAAAAGTAATATATTTTTTTTACACAAACACACCTCTACTGTACAGAGAAGATCTACTGGATGGGTTTTGAACTAGGTGCGATGAGAAGCTATTCTCCTAGAAAGTTAGCTAAGGATCCCAGTGGGAAGACTGAGCGTTTGGCTTGGCTTGTTCTTTTCAGTGTCACGAAAATATTGCCTAGGCAGGTAGGCAGTGAATGATGCTTTATGGCACTTGCAGCAGCTTACCTGCCTGGATCCCTTTTATAAGCAGCGTTACCCAATTTGAGAGGCACACCCATCTCTTGAATTGCTGCCCTGAAGGATTCTGAGGGCAATGCAGTGTGACCCAACTTCTGCTCTGCATTCTTTACAACAGGAGTTGTTGGTACACATATGGTAGTAGGCTGCAGTGTGAGATGGACAGCTTCTGCTTTCTGAGTAGATCAACCCATCTCCATTTAGACTGGTTTGAATTCTTTTTTTAAAAAAAAAATCTGTCGGATCTTTCCAGCAATGATCCTTCTAGTATTCGGTTGACTGTTCCTGTGTTCAGCAGTGGCCAACTAAACACTTTCAGGAAAGCTACAAGCAGTGGACAAGGGCTGCATCTCCACTTGTCTGTTCATAGTGCCCAGAAGTACACTTCACCAAACGGCCAGGTTAGGCACCATAGCTCAGGCTTGTTGATAATCCTCCCTAACCTGCCCATACCTTGGTCTAACTTTTTTTAAAATGTTGTCCGTTCCATGCTTTAGTGTATCCATCCCCACTCTCACCCATCCTCACCCTCCATTGCTTTGGAAAGTCTGGTCTAAAATTCAGATCCTTTCTTTTTTTTAATCTTGCCAACTCTTTGCATGATCAAAAGGAGACGCGAGTGACCGCCCCGCAAAGGATACTGATGATAAAGAATTCTTTATGTTTGTTGCTTTCAACTTTTTTTTGGGGGGGGGATAGGCAGTGTCTATCTCGCTGTTGCAACTGAAAGAGAGGGGAACCTGGTTCGTTGGCATCTTGTATGTATTGTAATGGGGTTACTTTGGGAGAATGTCTGGGTGTGTGATGTGCTTTCCACATTGGGCTTTCAAGCTATGTTGTGGACATAGCTATGTGTATACAACAAATTTAGGCGCAGTGGCTATGAATATTCAAGATCAGTTCAATAGGGCTTAGTCTTGGCTACACTGCAATAGAAGTTTTTAAAAAAATAAATACAGAAAAGAAACCAAGGACTCATTCTTGCTGGAATACTGGAATGTTAGCCAAGAACTTTTTTCAAGAAAGATTTATTAGAGGAGACAAGGAAATCAGAAATCCACAGAAATATGTCCCCCAAGTTCTGTCCCGGTTTGAGAGCGTATTCAGAGGAATTATGTATGAGTTATTTCCTTCTACAAACTGTATACTATGTAGGAAAAAATGTCCCAAGAGTGTGGAGAAAGGGGGGCTGTCTGGGAGTTTTAACTTTTTGGAAGGAGAAAACCATAGTCAATGAGAAGATAAAATTTCTTCTGGATTTTACTGGTGCCTATAGTTTTCTTGGCAATAATATGGAAATAATTTACCATTGCCTTTTTATAGAAGACTTTTCCATTTTCCTCTCAGCTCAATAACCCTAGTGATTAATCAGGATGCTAATCAGATCTAACCCTGGCTAACTTTTTCAAGATCAGCTTGGTAATGCCACCTGTTATAAATACTCTTTCCAAAACTGGCTTCAGACAACCAGAACTCACCCTCTCAATCCCTCTCTCCCTTTGCTTACACTTCTATTCTGCTCTGATTGACCAGAGCAGAGTTGACTTTTTTTTGTCTTTGAGTGTGTCCTAGTGCCATGAATTCCTAAGAGGCTTGTAAATTCTTTGCTAAGAACTAACACAGGACAGTTTTCATGCTATTTGTGGATTAATTTAGACTAGCCTTTGGCAGGGAAAGTTGCAGAGGGAGCTGGAAATTTATATCAGGGTTTCCTAAGTTGCATGTGCAGGTTGTAGCGATAAAACATAAAAGAAACTGGATTCATATGCACAGACACACAGAGACACTTTTTCCTATCCCCTCAAAGCATTTTTGCATTTCTGTTATCACTCCACTGTGTTCTAGAGTGGCAATGCAATCTGGAATAAGGTCCCTGAATGTTTGGGTTTGTAAAGAAGAATGTAACAGAGGAACAACATAGCAGGTACCCGAGCTCGAAAAATTCCCTTAAAAAGCAATCCCTTGCAAGCCAATTTTTTGTGTGTGTTTCCCTGGAAACAACTCCCACTTGCTTAAATTGGACTTACTCCCAAGTAAGCATGCAACGGACTGCAGAGAATGGCTTTAGAAAAACAGGATGCATACCACATTTGGCAGCCCTTCAAATTTGGGTCTAGTTACCCAAGATTCCAAAGAACGCAATTATTACATTATTGTTAAAGTATCTCAAATGTAGGACCTGTAGAAGAAAGGAAAATCTCTCTTGAGAGGAGCAAAATTCTTGCTGGCTGTATGGACCCATCCATGCAATTTTGTTGGGGATAGTAGAGAAGTGCCTTGGTGTCACTTTCTTCTGGAACGGGTGAATTTCTGGTGGTCTCATATTCAAAGAGTAGCCAGGTTCAACCGAGGTTAGCTTTTTCAAGATGAGCCAAGTCATCCAGGTGGTAGCATCTGTTGTGACATAAGCCATGCACAGAAACTTGGAATGCAATAGGTCTGCTTTCAGACTAACAAGCTACAGAGGGATTTGGGGTGTGTGTGTGTGTGTGTGCGCGCGCATGTGCGTGCATTGAGGGGAACATTAATAGAAGTAGAAAGGGGTTGTTGCTTCATCTCTATCTATTCATGGTTTCTCTGAAGAAATCACTTGATCCCACTTCTCCTGGTACTTTTTTTCCTCATTGTTTTTTCTGGAGCCATTCAGAACATGTAGAAAGTAGATCCAAAAAAGGAAGGACTTACGGGTGGAAAGTGGCAGAAGGGGAAGGCTTCAGAAGGGTTTTGAGTGTGTTTGTTTTTTTCTGTGTTGGAACTGGCTTTTTTCTGGATGTCTACTTTCATTCTCAATACAGTATCGTGCTTGAAAGCCTTTTTTTTTTTTTTTTGCAAAATGCTGAAATTTCAAATTTTAGGAATGAATGTTGAATTGGCCAGATGCTCAGTATCTTCTCGATGCTTAACATTTGCTGAAATGCAAAAACCTTGGGAAATAAAATGCTGCCAAAGACTTATAAGAATTCAGAAAGAATTCAGAATATATCCACTGAATAATGAATAGGAGAAGGAAAAGGACAAATAGAAGGAGAAGAAACCCCCGTGTTTCATTGTCCCAGTGTTTGCTTTTCTCAGCAAAATATTGGCTAGGCTCACATATTTTGTTTAAGCTCTAAGTTTCAATTATTGATTGCAGGAGTGACCATGGATTGGGGGGGAAGGGAATAAAAGAAATTAAGAGGGCAGCCAGGAATGCATGACTGAAGCCTCACCCTTAAAAAAAAATATATGCAGGGTCCTGATTATTTGCCAAATAAAACACAATGTTCACACATTATCCTACCTCGTAAAGACCAGCTGAGTGTCCTTTCTGCCACTGGAGGGCGCTCTTCTTTTAAACCTGCATCTCAGCAGCCCAGATAATTGGTTTCTATTATTTATTATTAATAGTAATAGTAAATACAATTTACAAGTGTGAACCACACTGGAAGCTTCACTTATTTTACTGCTTATTTTTTCTTTTAAAAC